GGGGTGTGGCCAGAGAAGACTGGAGAGGGAGTCTGGGCCATGCCAAGGCTATGGGGGAGACAAAGGATTCTGGGCTTTACCTTGCTTCTCAAAGTTCATGCTTCTCAGAATGGGGCTCTCCACAGTGCTACTCAGGATATAGCTGGAATATCTTCCAAGAGCATCAGTCACTTGAGGATGGGGGAAGGGGATCATTCTTTTTTATTGTAAAATAAACTTGTGAACAGTAGGCAGCAGACAACCAACTAGACTACTTTTGAAGACAAAACTCAAGATTTTGGCTGGGCATGATGGCTCATGCCTGTAATCCCAGCATGCTGGGAGGCCAAGGTGGGCGGATCACTTGAGATCAGGAGTTCAAGACCAGTCTGGCCAACATGGTGAAATCCCGCATCTACTAAAACTATAAAAATTAGCTGGGCGTGGTGGTGCTCACCCATAATCCCACCTACTCGGGAGGCTGAAGCAGGAGAATCGCTTGAGCCCGGAAGGCAGAGGTTGCAGTGAGCTGAGATTGTGCCATTGCACCCCAGTCTGGGCAACAGACCAAGACTCTGTCTCAAAAAAAAAGGAAAAAAAAAATTTTTTAAGGCATGCTTCACTCACAACCGAAGGCACAGCCCAGAAGTGACTGTGCTCATGCTTTCTCCTCTGTGCCACACTACCTCTACTGCAACCAGAGCCACTTTCACCTTCACGCTGTCTGTCCTTCCCACTCAACTAGCCTCCATGAGCCCAAAACCTCTGCTGTGGCTCCCTGTTAGACCATGTGGGGCCATTCCCATACTTCTAATCTTGGGCTGGACTTCAATATATTTTTTTTGGAGGTGGGGGGACACAATTCAATGCACAATAGCATCTTCTTTCAAATATGGTTGTCAATCTTGGGGTTCATGTTATCTACAACTACCTCCCCAGCCCCCTTAATAACTCTAGGTATTCTCATCCCTCGTAAGTGCTCACTCTTCTCTCTTCTGTCTTCAGCCTCTTCTGTTCTACTGGTTCATTCCCACAAGTACCTAAAGAGCCACCTGCTTCTCTTACAACCCTACGGCAACTTCCCATTGTCCTTCTCCATCCCAGGTCATGTTGAAAGGGCTGTCTGCATTTGCAGTCCCAGCTCCTCGGCTCCCATGTGCGGACATTGCAGACTCTTCTCCTCACCTCCCACCTATTCCGCCAGCTGCCGTGATCTGGTTTTCCCTGCCCTGCCTCTCCCATCCTGTCCTGGGAGGTTGGAATTCAGCCAGGAGTGGCCTTATATCAGTCAGTGGTCAAGACTCTGTTTCTCAGAGAGTATCTTGAAGCTTTTGCTGCGAACGCAAGTCCACCCTCCTCAAGCAACCCCCACAAATCCAAAAGTCTCTAGGACAACCTCTACTAAGATAAAACAACTGTTGACTGGACATGGTGGCTCACACCTGTAATCTTAGCACTTGGGGAGGCTGAGGCACGTGGATCTCCTGAAATCAGGAGTTTAAGACCAGCCTGGCCAACATGGTGAAACCCCATCTATACTAAAAATACAAAAATTAGCCAAGTGTGCCTGTAGTCCCAGCTACTCGGGAGGCAGGAGAATCGCTTGAGCCCAGGAGGCGGAGGTTGCAGTGAGCCAAGATAGCACCACTGCTCTCCAGCCTGGGTGACAGAGTGAAACTCCATCTCAAAAATAAATAAATAAATAAATAAATAAATAAATAAATAAAATAAAACAACTATAGAAAGTAGCAAGCCATCAGTCATCTCCACATTTACTTGGATCATTTCTGTCTTGATTAACTCCAGTCTGACAACTCTTATTAAAGGCAATGCAGGGTGGGAGACCTGGGATTGTCTCTCAGCTCTGTTGTTGATTGACTGCGTGCCACTCCTCTGCTTGAAGCCTCAGTTTGCTCCTGCAGGAGGTGGGAACAATAATGAGATCCAGCTCCCAAAGATGCTATGAGGATGAACTGAGATGATGACATAAAGGGGAATGTGGCAGGCTGAACAAATGTGAGTGCCAGAGAAGACTCAGGCCAGCTGGCCCATTCCTCAAGAGCTTGGATTTTAGGAGTAACCTTCTGGAATCTAGGCGAGGCTTTGGCAGACCCTGCTCAGGCTAAGGGAATGAGGAAAGAGACCGAAGACAGCATCATACACAGGCGAACTGGAGAATGAGAACGTACCTTGCAGAGTGCACTCACATATTGGTTATTTATTGAGAACCTACTGTATAAGCAATTCAAGCAAAAGTCAGACACACGTTGACAGTTCATAATTGAAGAGAAGACATGAAAACATACTCAGCATTCAGGCTGCTATACCTCACAGGCAAAGCACTGTGCTGGGGGAGCCAGGTAGGCCAGAGGAAGTGCAAGGTCCCCGGGAGTGGAGAGTGAGAGCCACAATACAGACAGAGAAAGGGCACAGGGCACACGGGAGTAGAGCAGTGGGCACAAAGTGGGAATACAAGGGCCCCCAAGAGAGTAGGCTGGGGCTAAGGAAAGGACTAGAACATTTTTTTCTTTTCTTCTTTTTGAGACAGAGTCTCTCTCTGTCTAGGTTGCAGTGAGTTGTCATTGTGCCACTATATCCAATCTGGGCAACAGAGACCCTGCCTCAAGGATGAAAACAAAAACAAAACAAAACAAATGAAAAACCCCAAGAGTTTGGACTTCAGAATTAGGGAGCTGTGAATTGAAACACTTGCTATGCCATCTTATAAGCTGTGTGACCATGGGCAATTTCATAACCTCTCTGAGCCTCAGTTTCTTCCATACAGCATAAATAATATGATGCACTAAAAACACTTGTGAAGATTAAACATACATGAAGTGCTGCACCTGCCTCATTGTCAAGTGCTCAATAAATGCCAGCCTATGGCTCTTTTACAAACTTTGGGGTTTTTTTTTTGTTTTTTGTTTTTTGAGACAGAGTCTCGCTCTGTTGCCCAGGCTGGAGTGCAGTGGCATGATCTCGGCTCACTACAAGCTCTGCCTCCCGGGTTCACACCATTCTCCTGCCTCAGCCTCCCAAGTAGCTGGGACTACAGATGCCCGCCACCACGCCCGGCTGGTGGCTAATTTTTTTTGTATTTTTAGTGGGGACGGAGTTTCACTGTGTTAGCCAGGATGGTCTCTATCTCCTGACCTCGTGATCTGCCTGCCTTGGCCTCCCAAAGTGTTGAGATTACAGATGTGAGCCACTGTGCCCGGCCCTGGGGTTTGTTCTTTCCTTCAGAAACCTCATGTACTCTGCATTTTTCTGCATGCATTTCCTTTGTGTCTCTCTTCTCTGCATTCATTGACTACTCACTCTTCCAGCCACCCTATCCAGACCATCTTCTCCGTGTAACCCTATGCCTTCCTTTAGAGGCACACCAGAGACCCATGTCCACACTGTAGAACAGTTCCCAGAGGACTCAAGAGCACAAGCTCAGAGCTGGGCGCACAGTCCAGTACTAGCAATTTGTGTATTTATTTGATCTTCCCCTCTTAAGAGCCAGTCCTCTTCTGGGTGAACAACCTGATGCTTTTATAACAAAAGCCAGTAAAATTTCACCCTGGCCTTGATAATAGAGAACATTCAGAAACTAAAAGTTCAATATTTTCTAGGATCTCAACTTTGTGGCAAGAAATGACCCAAAAACAATTTGTGCGTAAAGAGTAATTAGAAAAGAATACAGAGTAGGTAAAAACCACTGATCTGAAAAATGCACAAGGAACTCAACTTTTCTCATTTTATAGATGAGGAAACTGGGGCTCAGAGAGGCAAAGTTACCTGCTTAAGTTCACAGGACAAGGCAGAGCAGGGGCTTCTGACCAGGCTGACTCCAAGTTGAATGCCTTTGCCTCCAGACCCTGCTGTCCACTATATGGTGTTTATGGAGTAACTGGTGTAGCTTTCTGCAATATTCTTCAAAGAGAATGGTTTTAGAAGTGACTGTTGGCCGGGATCAGTGGCTCACCCTGTAATCCCAGCACTTTGGAAGGCTGAGGTGGGTGGATTACTTGAGGTCAGGAGTTTGAGACCAGCCTAGGCAACATGGTAAAACCCCATGCCTACTAAAAATACAAAAATTAGCTGGGCGTAGGCCAGGAGCAGGTGGCTCCGCCTATAATTCCCAGCCACTTTTGAGTGGGGGGCCGCGACGGGCAGTTCACAAGGTCAGGAGATCAAGGACCATCCCGGCTACATGGTGGAACCTTGTCTCTTACTAAAAATACAATTAAGCCAGTCGTAGTGGTAGGCGCTTGTAGTCCCAGCCACTTGGAGGCTGAGCAGGAGAATGCTTGAACCCGGGAGGCGGAGGTTTGGGTGAGCCAAGATTTCGACCCTGCATTCCAACCCGGCGACAGGAGGCAAGACTCCATCAAAAAAAAAAAAAAAAAAAAAAAAAAGCTGGATGTGCGGGCACTTGCAATCCCTATCTCACTCAGGAGGCTGAGGCAGGAGAATCGCTTGAAACCTGGGAGTGGAGGTTGCAGATTGTGCCGTTTGGCACTCCTGCTTGGAAATAAGAGTGGAAACTCCTTCTCAAAAAAAAAAAAAAAAAAAAGTGACTTTTGCCCTGGGCTTCTATTTAATAAGGTATTCTTTCTTTCTTTTTCGGGGGGTGGGGGACAGGTTATCACTTTGTCACCCAGCCTGGAATGCAGTGACATGATCTTGGCTCACTAAAACCTCTGCTCCCAGGTTCAAGTGATTCTCCTGCCTCAGCCTCCCTAGTAGCTGGCATTACAGGCAGGTGCCGCCATGCCTGGCTTAGTTTCGTAATTTTTTTTTTTTTTTTTTAGTAGAGATGGAGTTTCACCATGTTGGCCAGGCTGATCTGGAACTTCTGGCCTCAAGTGATCGGCTCGCCTTGGCCTCCCAAAGTGCTGGGATTATAGGCAGTGAGCCACCGCGCCTGGCCTCCACCCTTTTAATTCTTTTTTTTTTTTTTTTTTTTGAGTTCCGCTCTGTCGCTCAGGCTAGAGTGCAGTGGCAGGATCTTGGCTCACTGCAACCTCTGACTCCCGGGTTCAAGCGATTCTCCTGCCTCAGCACTCTTTTCATTCTTTGGACTGGTTCTAACTCAGCGGATGGGCTGCAGGAAGATAGGAGAAAGCATTAGTAGGGGACTCTTCTCCCTTCTATTGCTCCCACGAAACACGTGCCCCTGCACTTGAGGGAGAAATGAGCTACAAATGACTCACTTCATTTTTTTTTTTTTTTTTGAGACAGAGTTTTGCTCTTGTTGCCCAGGCTGGAGTGCAATGGTGCGATCTTGGCTCACTGCAACCTCCACCTCCTGCGTTCAAGCAGTTCTCTTGCCTCAGCCTCCCGAGGAGCTGGGATTACAGGCATGCACCACCATGCCCGGCTAATTTTTGTATTTTTAGTAGAAACGGGATTTCACCATGTTGGCCAGGCTGGTCTTGAACTCCTGACCTCAGGTGATCCACCAGTCTCCCAAACGGCTGGAATTACAGGTGTGAGCCACCGTGCCCGGCCATGACTCACTTTAAAAAGAACACCAAGAAAGGCCAGGCATGGTGGCTCAGACGCTTGTAATCCCAGCACTTTGGGAGGCCAAGGCTGGTGGATCACGAGGTCAAGAGATCGAGACTATCCTAGCCAACATGGTGAAACCCGTCTCTACTAAAAATACAAAAATTAGCTGGGCATGGTGGCATGCACCTGTAGTATAGTCCCAGCTACTCAGGAGGCTGAGGCAGGAGAATTGCTTCAATCCAGGAGGTGGAGGTTGCAGTAAGCCGAGATTGTGCCACTGCACTCCAGCCTGGCGACAAAGTGAGACTCAGTCTCAGAAAAAAAAAAAAAAAAAACCAAGAAAAATAATCAAGGTTTAGAGCTACCTGTGAACCACTGCATTCTCTTCTTTCTTTATCTTTTAAATGTTTCCTGACTCCTAGAACTGACACTGTGTTTTCTTCTTTCCAAAAATGTAACTTTCCTTTTAAGTAGACAACCACTATGATAGGAGCTAAGATTCTTCAGTCTGGAGTACTTTGAAGGAATAATAGTATCGCCCACACCAAGCGGTTCAGGCACTCTTATTCCATCAGGCACTAGCTATGGGTATTGCCCCCAATTCAGGCTGCTCTGGGATGATACATCTGTAGACATTTGGGTTGACACAAGGTCCTGTACAGGCTCTTTGCTTGGACAGCAGGCATTGTGGAATGTGTTTTTCTCTCTATATTCCAGCATCAAGTCTTTCTCATTCAACGCAACAGGCATGAAATTTATGAGCAGGTCTTTTTGCAAGCATCCAAATATAAATTCTGACCTCTGGCCATCTAATCTCAAGTGATGTGTATTGTGAATGCTGCTTTATGGTGGCTTTGCATCAATATGAGACTCAAGTGTTGCCTACCAGAGAAAGGATCTAACTTGGCTGTCTTTAGATTAACCTTCAGGTGATTTTGGGGAGCAGGGGAAGAGAGGATGCTGACTGCTAAGGCTTACAGCATGCAAACGCTGAAGTTATACTCCTACCTGGTCCCATATCGAGTACAGGGTCACCAGGCTAAAAGGAATTGCAGAAATCATCTAGTCACTCCACAGCCTCACTAGATGCATCAATTCTGTCTCCAACATTCTTTGTAAGTGATCAGCTAGTCTCTGCTGGAATACCTCCAAAGACAGGGAGCTCATGAAGCTCAGTTGCTCAAAAATGGAAAAAGTCTGTCATAATTAGGATTGAAATCTGCTTCCTATGACTTTTCTACCACTGGTCCTAGTTCTGCCCTCTGTGGTCACCCAGGCCACTGCTGGTTCACCCAGCCTGGGGGTGGGAGAGGGTGACTACCCTGTCCCCTTCTCCAAACTGCACAGCTTCAGCCCTCTGGCTGCTTCTTGCAGCCCTTTTTCATGCAACATCTAACATTCTCAGAGTCAGCATACTGCTGAATCAGTGCTGCTTGGGGTCAGCCAAGTCCCCAGGATCTTAAGAGGACATGTAACAGGAAGGTCTTAAAGATGAAAGCTCAGAAATCTTCAGTCATTGAGGGCTGTCTTTGAGCCTGATGTTCCTCCATTGTAGGTTTCCAAAAACAGCTCAGACCTCTCCCTGGGAGCTCCCTCCTAAAAATAGAAAGGAAACAAAACAGAAGCCAGGACAGTTAAGTCCCTTAAAGTGCAATGAATGGAGCTCATACCTTTTGCGGAGGCTGTGCTAGGAGGATCAAAGTGCTGGACCTGGCAGAGTCCCCAGGATGCATCTCATCCCCAAACTTTTCGAATGGGGAAACTGAAGCCAGGGAAGATGGGGCTCACCTTAGGACACGCAGGTTAATGATGACTTTCAGTCTTAAGTAATCTCCATCAATGGACCAACGCTGACCTTCTGAGAGACCCCAGAATAGCGGCCTAGACTTCAGACCCTGCTTCTTGATGTCATCGCCCTAACCCCAAATGAGCCAATTTACCCCATGCCTTTGGTACTGAGGCAGAGACAAGCGGCCCTCATTGGGAGAGTGCAGACGCTGGGGCGCTGCTGGAGCTGGGAGGGGCACCGGGCGCTGGGCTTAGCTACACAGCTCTGGAAGGCCCTGTCGGAAGTGGGCCACAGCTGGCAGTAAAGCAGTGGGCTGAGGCAGTTGTTGCAGTGCGCCAGGCAGATGGAGACCGGGAAGAGGTAGGCCTAAGCCAGGAAGTAAGAGCGGTCCAAGGGCATGGCGTTCAGTTTCATCAGCATCCCTCAGAGTGTGAACGCTTGGTTGGGCAGCCAACAGAGCCCTAAGGCCAGCAGCACGCAGGCCAGCTAGCAGGTGACTCAGGAAAGCAGTCGGCGCCTGACTCTCAACGGCCAGCGTGCGCGCCACAATTGCAGGAAGCGCAGCAGCAGCAGCGAGCAAGTGCCCAGCGTGGCCAGCGTCAGCACGAAGGCCACCGCGATCTTCTCTGCAGGTGGTAGAGCGTTTGCCAGTTGGGGCCGCTGTCGGGGAAGCGCAGCAGGCACGAGTGCTTTCCCCCAACCCTAGCTGCCGTGGTGAACCGGGCGGTGGGTGCTGGAGCCAGGACGGCCATAGCCCACAGCAGGCAGCACACACAGCTGGCCCGGCTCGGAGGCAGCGTGCCAGTCACGGTGCAATAGCGTGCCACGCTCATGGCGCTGAGGAAGAAGCTGCTGGCATACATGTTGAGCACGGTGAGCATCAGCACCACCTTGCAGATGGCACCCCCGAAGGGCCAGCTGAAGTCGCGCACCGTGTCCACGGCCCAAAAAGGCAGCGTTAGCACAAACTGCAGGTCAGTGGCTGCCAGGTTGAGGAGGAAGCAATTGAGCAGCCAGTGGCGGCGCCGCTGCCGGGACCAGGACTAGCACCAGCACGTTGCTCACCAGGCCTACAGCGCACAGGGCCCAGTAGGCGCCCGCAATCAGTGCCCGCAGCGCCGGCGCCGGGACTGCCCCCGCCACCCAGTCCAGGCAGTCCAGGCTGCGGGGACTCTGGGCCGGGCGAGTGCTCTCCAATCCGTTGCCCAGGGAGCTGTTAGGGCGCAGCCCTGACGACGCCTCTTGCAGCCAGCTGAAGAGAAGCACGGCCCAGAGAGCTCGGGCGATTCGACCCTGCCGCTGGCGGACGCCATCGCCGTAGATGGCGATGCAGGGATCCGCTCAGATCCACTCCAACACCGGCAGCTGCTGAGAGAGAATTAGGGGTCTGCGGTACCTCGCCGCAGCACCTTTTAAAAACTGGGGACCGCTCGCTAGCCTGTGATCGGCCAGCTGCACCCGTGGTCCCACCCCAAAGGCCTCCGAGCTGTATTTCCATTAGCTGCTTCTGCACCCTTAAATTCGCGTTGAACCGGGGACCCTTTGCGGGTGAACTGAGACGCAGAGGCCGGAAGCCCGCACCAGAGGAAACAGCGTCTGCCATTCACCCAAGGTGTGGGGCCACAGCTGCTGGTTCCCGCCCGACGACGCAGCTCCAGCTTCCCAGTGCCTCCCAGAGGGACTCTGATACTCGGGGGACAGAGAAGGGAGGTCATACAAATTATTCCTGTGGAGGCAGTGCGCCCCTCCACCTCCAGTGTGGGCCCCGAGATAGCCAACTGAAGACCAAGGAGGGTTGCCCAAGTCCGACCAGTGGGGCCTGGCAGCCCACTGCCCACCAACCCTGCTTCCTTGAACCTCCTGCTCCTGATAAAGGCATTTCTCCTCCCCTGCTTTAGCCATGGGTACCCTTCATCTCCACCTTCACTGTAGTCTGCTCTGCAAGTATCTGTGACCTTCTTCCCAAGGTCAGCCTGAGAAGCAACTAATCTAGGAGCAGTCAGAGAAAGAGACAGGCAAACAGGGTTTAAAAGACCAGTGTTGGGCCAGGTGCGAGGGCTCACGCCTGTAATCCCAGCATTTTGGGTGGCCGAGGCCGGCGGATCACCTGAGGTCAGGAGTTTGAGACCAGCCTGGACAACATGGTAAAACCCTGTCTCTACCTAAAATACAAAAATTAGCTGGGCTTGATGGTGTGTGCCTGTAATCCCAGCTACTTGGGAGGCTGAGGCAGGAGAATCGCTTGAATCTGGGAGGTGGAGGTTGCAGAGAGCGGAGATGGCAGGCCATTGCACTCCAGCCTGTGCGACAGAGCAAGATTCCATCTAAAAAAAAAAAAAGGTCCAGTGTTGAGAGACCAAGACTGGGTCAGCACTCATGCTCAGCATACACAGAGGAGGGTCCTAAAGCCTGGGGAATCCTGAAGGGCTTCTTGGAGGAGGTGATTTTTGAGCTGATCCCAATATTGCCTTGGCTTCCAATTCCAGTGAGTTCCTCCTATAGTTAGAATAAAATCCAGATTTGCTGCTTTGGACTACAAGGCCTCATGACAGAGGCACTCAACTATAGCTTTTCTTTCTTTCTTTTTTTTTTTTGAGACAGAGTTTCACTCTGTTGCCCAGGCTGGAGTGCAGTGACGTGATCTCGGCTCACTGCAACCTACGCCTCCTGGGTTCAAGTGATCCTTCTGCCTCAGCCTCCCATGTAGCTGGGACTACAGGCATGCATCACCACACCCAGCTAATTTTTATGTTTTTAGTAGAGATGGGGTTTCATTTTGTTGGCCAGGCTGGTCTTGAACTCCTGACCTCAGGTGATCCACCTCCCAAAGTGCTGGGATTACAGTGTGAGCCACCATGCCCAGCCAACTAAGGCTAAAAAAAAAAAAAAAAAAGCCGGGTGGGGTGGCTCACGCCTGTAATCCCAGCACTTTGGGAGGCCCAGGCAGGCAGATCATGAGGTCAGGAGAACGAGACCATCCTGGCTAACGTGGTGAAATCCCTTCTCTACTAAAAATACAAAAAAGGTAGCCGGGGGTGGTAGCATGCGCCTGTAGTCCCAGCTGCTAGGGAGGCTGAGGCAGGAGAATGGCATGAACCCGGGAGGCAGAGCTTGCAGTGAGCCGAGATCATACCACTGCACTCCAGCCTGGGAGACAGAGCAAGACTTCATCTCAAACAAAAAACAAAAGAAACAAAACAAAACAACAGCAACAAATCAATGCATGGGTCCCATACTCCAGAGGTCTGGAGTAAGCTCGGTGTGTGTGTTTTTTTTTTCTTTAGACCGAATCTCGTTCTGTTGCCCAGGTTGGAGTGCAGTGGAGCGATCTTGGCTGACCACAACCTCCGCCTCCCAGGTTCAAGTGATTCTCCTGCCTCAGCCTCCTGAGGAGCTGGGACTACAGACGCAAGCCACCATGCCTGGCTAATTTTTGTATTTTTAGTAGAGACAGGTTTCACCATGTTGGCCAGGCTGGTCTCAAACTCCTGACCTTGTGATCTGCCTGCCTCGGCCTCCCAAAGTGCTGGGATTACAGGCGTGAGCCACCGTTCCCGGTCAGCCCTGGTATTTTTAAAGGTGCCTAGGCAATACCACTGTATGCCAGGGTTGACAAGTCCTCTGTTTGTGATCTCTCTGCCCATATCCTAGACCTTGTCACCTACCACTCTGAGCCTTGCTCACTTCACTCCAGACACAGTGGTCCTTCCCCAGGTACACCGCTCTGGCCTGCCTCAGGCCTTTGCCTTTGCTGTTCCATCTGCCAAGAATGCCCTTCAACCGGATTACCATGTGGCTGCTCCTTCTCAGCACTCAGGCCTCAGCCCAAATATCACTTCCTCAGAGGAGACTTTTGTCTGCCACCACTCTGTTTACTTCCAAAAACATTCATTGCGTGCCCACTATGTGCCAAGCACCTTGCTAAGCACCCGGGATGCAGCCTGGTGCATGTGTGTCTTCTACTAGGGGATAAAGACAAACAAGTAAATGAGATGAATTTATGGGGGAAAGAGTGACAATGAAACAAAGCAGGGTAACAAGATAGAGAGTGAGGGGCAGGGCAGCAGGCTGAAGGAAGGGGTATGAGTTTAGGGATGGGAGGGCTCCCAGGGGAGGAGGAGACCATGGTCCCCTTTATGCCACTTACCAGGTATATGTCTAGGGGTTAACCAGTTTTTATTTTTCATTTTTTATTTTATTTTATTTTATTTTATTTCCGAGATGGAGTCTCGCTGTGTCACCCAGGATGAAGTGCAGTGGTGCGATCTTGGCTCACTGCAATCTCTGCCTCCCGGGTTCAAGCAATTCTCGTGCTTCAGCCTCCTGGGTAGCTGAGATTACAGGTGCCTGCTACCACACCCGGCAAATTTTTGTACTTCTTGGTAGAAATGGGGTTTTGCCATGTTGGCCAGGCTAGTCTTGAATTCCCGACCTCAGGTGATCCACCCACCTCAGCCTCCGAAAGTGCTGGGATTACAGGTGTGAGCCACCACCTCCAGCCAGAGGTTAACCAATTAATCTTGCCTATCTGTAAAGGAAGATGCTGATAACCCCTTGTCAGGGTCATAGGACAATTAACCAACCTCATGAGAGAAAGCCTTCAGCTCTGTGCCCGGTACGAAACTCTTCTTCTTGTGATTATTATTGAGAGGCTAGAGTGACCTCTCGTTTTGCTGAAGGCCCTCTCTGGAACTTCTTGGCCAACTTTAGTCTGGAGCTCCCACTGTATGTCAACCCTGGCATACCGTGCACTTGCCTTTTCCTTCTTTCCTACCTCCATCTAGAACACAGGCACAACACGCCACCAGGAGCTGGGAGGTGGTTCCCAGAGGGCAGATCTCCTTCATGTCTCCTGCCCTCAATCAATCACCACTGCCAGAGCCTCCCCATCACTCCCAGGCCTCTGCCTTGCTTGCCCAGGAGACAGGGAATCTGCAGTAAGTGACATTCTCTGCCCAGCAGTTAGGAAAGGGGAGATTAGCCTACTTACCGAGACATAGACTAGGCCAGAACCTGGATGAACTGGGAATCTGATTGAAAGTTTCCAAAATTAGGTCATGCTTTCCCAGGGTTTCCTTCCAGCAGGGTCTGATGCCTGGGACTTTTTCTTCCTTCAGTGGAAGTTGTCACTGAATGTCAAGTGGCCTGGGTTCTAGTCTCTGTGCCCTAGGGCTCTGTGTAAAATCAAGTGACTTTTCCCATTCTGG